ATAGTGCAGCTATTTTTTTAAATACTTTAAGAAACTTATAGTAGTAATTAGTAAATCCGAGGAAAGCTTATATTTCCTTAATATTAATTAGCTCCTTCTAGTCTCTAATTACTAAGACTTTCTTAGGGTCTATATATATCTCATTATAAGAGATAATATATCTAAGGAATTCTACTTCTAAGGCATAGAATTTACTTTTCTTAGGTTCTACTAATAAATTAGTATTCTATAGTATCTATAATACCTTATAGATATATTCTATATATTTTTCTTCTATTATAAAGAAAATAAAGATATTATCTAGGTAATATATAATAAATATATCTAAATATTCTCATAGTATATTATTAATTATTTATTAGAATATAATAAGTATATTAATAAATCTAAAAGGCATAATAAGGTACTTAAATAATCTATACTTAGTATAAAAAGCGGTTTTTTATTTATATCCTTCCTTAATCTAAATAAGGTTATAGGCTCCTTTAAGATTAAATATAATAAAATACTTTATTCTAAAAAATTAATCTTTTAACTCGCTAATAAGAGGTAGTAATATATAATCCTTAATTATAATAATATTAAGTATTTTAAAATTAATATAAAATTAGAGCTTTTTATTTTTTTTTAATATAAATATAATAAGGTATTTAATAAATAATTTACTTTTCTTAATATATTTTTTCTATATTATATCTTTAATATATTCTTTTAATACTAAAAGTTATATTTTATTAAGTAAGTAAAGTTTATTAAAGCTAAGTTATTTCTTATTAATAAACTTAAGGGTTAGGGTTAGAACAGAGTAACTATTAACTATCTAAGCTATTTTGCCCTAGGGGTTTCTTCTAGCTAAGATATAGCTTATAGATAAAAGAGGGGAGATTTTTCTAAGAAATAATAAAAGAAAAAGCATAAGAGATATAACTAGGAAAGAGGTATAGCTAAGAGAGAGATATAGCTAGGAAAAAGAGATATAACTAAAAGAGAGAGGTATAGCTAGGAAATAGAGATATAACTAAAAGAGAGAGGTATAGCTAGGAAATAGAGATATAACTAAAAGAGAGAGGTATAGCTAATAAGAAAAAGGCAAAGAGATAAGAGATAAGAGATAAAAGGTAAAGGATAAAGAAAAGCCTTAAGAAGCCCTAGGGGTATTCCAGATCGACCTAGCTAGGTTACTAGGGGTATCTCGGGCTATAGAAGCCGCAGAGGTCGCCCTAGTCCTCATCAGGGCAAGGCTAATAGAGGAATCTAGCTGGTTAGCCGCAAGGGGGCCAATAAGGTCCTGGAGCTTCTGATAGGTCTTAGCTGTCTCTAGGTCCATAAGGCCGCCTGCTGAGATAATAAGAGGCTGAAAAAAGGCCCCGAGAGACCTATATTTTCTGCGTTTTTCTTCGGCAGCCTCTCTTAAG